CCCCAAAAGTTGCAACTTTACCTCGCGTTCGCGCGTTCGACCATGCCAATGCACGCAAAGGGTTGCATTCCCGATCGATGGCATCAGTGCTGGTTCCGGCTTTAGAAAGAAGGAAAGATATACCGAGATGTAGATAGATAAGTCGGTTTAGACGTAGATAAGTCGGGTACTCGACTCGATGTACTTCACTCTCTGTATTTGACTCGATGTAATTGACTCTGTGTACTATGCCCTTGACTCGATGCACTTCACTCGATGTACCATGCACTTGACTCGATGCACTTCACTGGATGTACTTCACTCTGATGTACTTCACTCTGTGTACTATGCACTTGACTCTGATGTACGTCACTCTGTGTACTATACTCTGTGTACTATGCTCTGTACACTTGACTCTGCCTGCATAGTACTCTGTGTGCTTGACCCTATGTAATTCTCTAAAGGGCTTCGCACGGAAGAACCCTTCGCGATGCTTTCGGGAAAAATGTCAAGACTGACGAACATGGTAGCCCAGCACCAAAACGACAAATGCTGGCATCGCGGCTGACTCGGCGCCGAGTCCTTCCAGGCACCAAGGGGCCTTGAGTGGTTCTTGGTCGGTGCGTGCTTCTATTCTTGTTCTGAAGGGTGCAAGGAAAGAAAGCACCGTGTGGGTTTTGACTGCCGCTAGGATGTTCCGCTCCGGATGCCCCCAAAGGAAATCAGGCCAGGTTAAGCCTCGTAATGGGCGCAAATTTGCGCTGAGTGCAGCTGTGCTCCCTTGCCTTCAGGCCCTGCTAATCCTGCTGGTTTATGGATGCAGACACGCCCGGTGCGAGAATTGGGACTGGCGTGGAAGACGAAAACGCAGAGCTGCACGGGGAAGGGAGATGCTTGCATAATTTCAGCGGCATGGAAGGGCTTTTGGAACTCTGTCAACTGCTTTCGAATTCTTGGGGTCTTGTGTCAAAGGCTGCTCGGTGTTCTTGGGCAATGCTACTGGGACAGCAGCTGCGGCTGCGGAAGCGCTCCGCACGAAGAGCTGCCGACCAGGAGGCCGAAGCGACCTGAGTCCTCTGGGCGTGGCAGTTCTGGCCCTGAGAATCTTTCAGGCACAGAAGAAGGGAGCTCCAAAAAAGTACTTGATGCTCGAGCCACTCGCCGACGCTTTCGCAGCATTGTGCTCGCATCAGAAGCTGGCTCAGGACGCAAAAGGGAGACGTGTCGCTTTTGCTGCGTCCAGACTCCGCACCACGCACGGTGGAGCACGTGTGTGCCGGGCTTACAGTTCACGACGTCTCTGCAGACGGTCTGGCGCCGCTTCAAGCTGTAGAAATGTCCAGGTAAGCTGGTGAATGCGTCTCTTTATGACGGATGCTACTTCTACCGATCGGATTTCGTTCTTCAGTGCCTGGGTGAGTTTGTGTGGTGGACCGGTCGCGCTGGCCGCTGGACTGGCTTTGAGGTGGGGCCTCTGGCTGCCGAGCGAGACCGAGGCGCCGCAATGCGCCGCCTGAGCCTCTGACGTGAAAAACCCCGGGAGGTGGAGAACCCATATCCCGACATCGAAGAGAACGTCACTCGGAGATAGTTTTTTGCTCTTGCTACTGACATCATCGGGGAAGACCAGGCTGAGTTGCCCTGAGTTGTCGGCTGGTGCTCATGCAAGGAGACACAAATTGGCACTTTCATCTCCAATGCGCCTGGCACGGTCGCAGTGGCGCATGGCATTGGCGTGAACGGCAACTCCGATATCTTCATCAACCTCAAGGACGGGCCTTGGGTTTTGGGTTCAGGAAGCTCGGAGTACACGGCACATTCGAGCTGAGTTCTGCTCTGGGAAGCATTCCAAGAAATCATCGGAACGGCATTTTTTGGCCCTCGGGTAGGAACACGTGTAAATGTTATTCTGACGCTGTCATACATCCCGAAGCTATCGAAAATAGCGGCGCCTTCGAAAATGGCCCTTGTGTCCGGAGTACGCAATATCGCCCTTCTCGGGACACTGCTTGTGGACAGTTGCTCTTTCGTAAAGTCTGTCGGGCCACGCACCTCAAAATCCGGCTCAAACGTCATTATGTTTGTCCGCAAGCGTTATGATATGGACACGTTGCTCTGTGAGCTGTCTGACGAATCTATCTGTCTGTCCTGAGCTATTTCAGAGATGGACGTAGTCAAAAGTCCAATAGGACACATTGCCTGTTGAAATATGGTGGGAGGTGTGTTGTGATAGCTGGCCGGTTGTTTTTGGAGAGGACAACAGCTACCTGGACACCATGTCGCTGGGCTTTTGTGCCGTGAGCTCAGGTTAAGCGCTGTGTTCGTCAGCTCTGCTGGAAAGCCGGTCGACAAAATCAGACGCGCAGTGATCATCTTCATCCTCCACACGAGCATATCACCGTAGGAGCGGCTTCCAGGTATTTGCAGAGCTTGCTGATGCAGAAAGCCGTCGGGTTGTGAACGAGCTTGCCGCGGCTGTTCTCAAGGACGAGAAACCTGCCTCTCGATGCGAGTAAGCTTGAAGCGGCACTTCGGAACATGTGTCGCACGAGCATATCGTACTTGCGCCGAGAAGCATCGTCACTTGCTGAGGTAATTACGCGGGTTTTGGACTCAGTTTCGACATGCTCGGCTTCACCTGACTGAGACTGCTTCTCACGGTCTTTGCTGTGGCATCTGTCTAAGTGGTAGACTGCCTGAGTTTTTGTTTCTGGCAAGGCCTCCATAATCAGCCAGCAGCGCCCGGCGAAGAGGCTTCTTGGATTTTTTTTTTCTGAGGTTCTCGGGCGAGTGTGGCTTGGGCAGTGTCCGGCTTTGATCAGGCTGCCGCTGGCGATCGTGATGGAGAAAAGTTACAGCACTTTTCGTGGTGAATGGGACGGATTCTTTCAACCTGTCGTCAAATCCCAGGAGGAGCCAGGTTGAAAACTCTCACTTTCTGGTGCTTCAAAGTCTAAGCACAGTGTGGCTTGTCTGCGACAAAGTGACGTAGACTGGACACACCATTCAGGCCTTTGGCTTGTGAAACCAACGGCTCATCAACTTTTGACAATCCCCTGCCAAAGATGCAGGGGTGACGTGCCATGCAGTGCCGGAGAAGCGACAAACCACAGTACATGTTCTGCAACCAGCCGCGGAATGCTGTACACAAGCAATTTGTAGCCGAGGCGTTGAGACTTTGCTGAAGTGGGCAGTGGCAGACACTGGACGCCGTGTTCGTGGTCTCCCACAGAAGGCAATCGTTTTGGCACTTGTCATATGAGCACATCAGTAGCCGCAAGCACAGTTGTAACGCAATCAACGATAAGGACAATCTTGATCATCATCATAATAAGGACGACGATGATGATGGTGGTGGGGATTGTGGTGGTGGTGATGATGATGATGAAGGTGATGATCATGACAACGTTGATGGTTACCGGGTGATCGGAGCGATGACGACAATGATCATGATGATGGGGACGGTGATGTTGAATACGTAGAAGAAGAGGTTGGTGGTGGTGATGATGACCGTGATGTCAGTGATGTTGATTCAGTTAGTAGAGGGACAGGTTGATGGTGATGGTGATGTTGTTGATGGTGATGTTGAATGATGTTGAATAAGCCAAAATTTCAATGATAGTGGTTGTGGTAGGGATGGTCAGGATGTCGATGGCGATGGTGATGATCATAATGGTGGTGGTGGTGGTGGTGGTGGTGCGAGTAGCAGTCGCAGAGCAGTCGTCATGGCGGCGGTGGCGGCGCGGTGGTGGTGCTGGTGGTGGTGGTCGTGGTCGTTGTGGTAGCAGCAGGCAGAAGCATGAACAGTCAGGAGTGGAACAAGGGGTGAGCTTGCAGGCCTTGCACATGGAAATGGAGCAGACTCATGAGTTTCTGGCGGAGGAATTCTACGATGCGTCGGTCTCCCAGTCGTCCTCGCAGCAACAGTGTGAGAGCACATCCCACGCAATCGAGGCTCCTACCGGTGTGGCAGGACCGCTGGAGCCACCCCCTCGACCGACAGTCACGAAGTCGAGTGCAGGAGATCACCGAAGGGCGTGGCCCACAGGTTCCTCCGCAGTACGAGGCAGAGTCCTAGTGTAAGGCAAGGGCTCCTCGCTTCCACCCTTGCATGCCAGGACCACGGCTTGGTGCGGTCTATGTCACAGCTGGTGCAGGGGGCTCAGCCAACCAACTTTTTGTTGGAAATCGCGGAAGAGAGGCTTTGATTCTGGTTTCCCCCTGACAGGCCTCAAAGACGGGCTTCCTGTGTCGAGGCGCACGAAGCTTTTAGCATAATTGGGGGTTGTCCATGTCCGACATGGCATCGAGGCCTCAGAAGGCAGCGGCAATCAAGACGCCGAGAAGGCCGTTTCTGAACAAGCTTTTCAGAGAAGAGAAAGTCAGCAATTCTGCTTTTGCAGGAGGACCCGATCCGGTCTGTCAGCGGCAGCTTACATGGGAGTTTCAAGCTCGGAAAGCCACACAATACCATGCAAGGCAGTTCTCTCCCCGGAAACTGCTCTCAGGCAGCATGCGCTTGGAAGCACTTCTGGGGAGAACGCAGCCACTGCAGACAGACCGCTCTGAATCCGGTGGGTGCGTGCCCTTGCCATTTGTAGTCTTTCCTCGATTCCAGTGGAGTGCCATCATCCTTTGTGGAGATGCCAACACCGAGGTTGGAAAGATTTCTCTGCCGCGCTCGTTCAGGTTGCAGGAGGGAGCGCTCGAAAAGTTGTGGCGCCTTGCTTTTTTTCCGCAGTAGCTGCGCTATTTGCAGGGTCGAGCTTCCGGACCTCCTCAGAGCCCACGACGAGCTGATGGCCGAAAACTTGCATCTTCGAAGGGAGAACGAGGTGCAGGGAGAGATAGCTTTGTTTTGCGTCGTGGTCTTCACTGTTCTGAAGAACTTCAGGCGCTTCGTGCGCGGCCTACATCCCCGCAGCAAGTATCCCCAGGGACTCGATCGGGATATGCCCAGAGCTTAGAGCCTGTGTTGCTTCGTGATTGTTATTGCCCGCCTAGATTTCCAAGGCAAGCCCTACCAAGTCACATCGGACAGAGGTCCCGTCCCGTGGGCCATAAGCCATGGGCGACAGTGTCGAACGCCAGGTGTCGCCATCCGCTCGCATGCCAAGCCGATTTGCTTCAGAGGCCCTTTTTGGGTGTCGCGTGCCTTCGGACAGCTGGGTGCCAAAACGAGGCGAACTCCGAAGAGTCTGACGGCGCAAAGGCTAAGCCGGACTCGCAGAGAAGCGCTCGAAGATCATTGCCCCGCTGCCTCCACACAGGTGCCAGTCAACGTTTCTGTTGACGACGAAGAGGAAGCAGAAATTCCCGAGGACCGGCATCTGCAGCATCTCGTTCGACTGTATGGACTCTGGAACAGCCGCTTTCTTGAAGGAAGGCTCACAGATCAGGCGCTCCTCTTGGAGAGACCAGGCGCCCGCACTCGAACACAAGAAAGGCATGAACGGGCTGGCAGCTGAGGCTCCAGCGAGTCCGAGCCTTCTGAATGCAGCTGCGGCTGCCTTCGTCGCAGCGACGAGCTTGGGCCGCAGCCCGAAGGCACAAACCAGGCTGGTTGCCTTACGATCTGGAAGGATTGCTCCTGGTCCCACTCTGTGCACCTGTGCACTGCATGGTCCTTGGCGCAGGCCGGAGGATTCTCGGGGCAAAGAACCATGGGTGTGTGCGATGCCCTTGGCATCCGAAGCGCCACCCGCTGTGCGGAAGGAGGAATTCAAGGAAACGGCCGTGTTTGTGTCCGCGTGACGTTAAACACTGCATCGATGCATCTGCCATGATGTGAGGATGTGCGGCCACCCTCACCGCAGCGATTGGCAGTCCCAAGCGCAAAGGTCTTCTGGCTGCATTTGCAAGCCCATCTTTGTACCGCATGCTTTAGTCGCGTCACATTCGCGCGCTACGGGCAGCGAGGCATCAGCACAGGTGCCCAGCAAGGTCCTCCTGCATTCGCAAGCACAGAGCTAGGGAGCTCGTGGTGGGGCTTACGCATGTCCGTGTTCTGAGCATTACCAGGCGCTTCTTCGCCTGCCTGTGCCATCCGCTGCGGAGCGGGCGCGGTCGATGTGTGCCGAGGATCCGCCTTTAGCGGCTCAGATACTTCGCTCCGTCTTTCTGGCTCTGCTCCAGGTCAGAAGCAGGAGTCCCAACTCGGCCACGTCTGGGTCACCCTGGTCCGGTGCTCAAATCATCAAAAGACGGATCAGAGTCGAGAGGGGATGCTGCTTAGGCGCAAAGCCATGCGTCCGACGAAGAACGCTGTCAGAGCCTCCGGCAATGCAAGGATCTCATGGCCTCATGTGCCCTTCTTCGAACCAGGCATGGCTCAAGCAGGCGGAGAAGGCGCCTTTGAATGTCTACATGGACATGTCATGTTGCCATATGTTGCCTCTTTCTCGGACAAATCTTGGCAATCTCACTTCAGGACTTATCCAACAGATCGTCCGTGTGGGACCCTCAACGTCGCGACAGTCCATCGTGTTTCTACGCAGCAGAATCTCTCTGTCCCTGGCCAGGTCTGGCCGAATGGTGCCTTTCGAATTTATGGGCGCCAGCCTCTGTTGTGAGACCTGGAAGCTGAGAGTGCATCTCTCGGGGTCAGTGGTAACCGCTGGTGCACAAATCAGCTGATGAGTGGGTTGAGTTGGTGAGTGGGTGAGTGGATGAGTGGACATGTGGGCGAGTAGAAATCCCAGAAAGGCATCTGAAACAGATTCTAATGGTCCTGCACGCGTTTTCGCGAAAATTCTTCAATTCTCCCTGCCAAAGTACCACCCGCCCCCACCACGATCGACAACAACGCGAAATGGCATGTATGGGGGGGGGTCAAAAATAGAGACACATTAACGCTTGCTTTTTGGTTGCCACCCGGAGGCCGAAGCTGTGGGGACGCAGGAGTATACGGTACTTGCTATGCAGGGGTCTGTGCTGTTGTAACCTGGTAGTTTGTCTGTACACTGTTTCCCTACTACCCATATGAACATGATAACATGTGTACATTCATTTTCCATCGAAGCTCCAGCGCCGGAAGGTGCTGCTCGGCCCACGAATCCAGCGGCCTGGCCTCAGGTCGAGTGAGAGGTGAGCGCTCTTCAGGGTGTCGGTTTGCTCCGGCTATTTCTTTCCCACTGCTTATAGTAATTCCCAAAAACCTCGCCGAGATGGCGACGTGCACTCTGAATTCAGGCGGCATGAATTTTGAAGCGTCGATCAAGCATCCCGCAGGGACATAGACGCACAGGAAAGGTCGCCAACAAGCCCGTGCAGTGAGAGCCATGCTGCCCTGTACAGGAAGTGCAGCCAAAGAACGGCCTCAAACGGCTTTGTGGCTTGCTGTAAGCAAGCTGCCCAAATTCCTTCACAGAGCTGCTTACAAGTAAAGGGGCTCTGCTCCATGGCAAAGTGGTGGGCGCCATGCCGACGGATGTGTAAGCAGAGCTGCACTGGGAACCTGGGAGCTCGGGTCTCCCGACCAGACTCAGCCACGATCTGGCGTACCTAGCGCAAAGAGTGAGCTGAGCTGGGGCACAGTTTTAAGGCGAAAGGGATGCCCCTCCCCCGAGGCCACACTGCAGGAAAAGCGGAAACGAAAAGCGGTGAGATATCCGGCACCGGCCGTCCATGGCCGGGCCTTTCCCCGTGCAGGAAAAGATGAACCCTATCATGGAGGCCGCGTATGCTGCGTCTAAAGCAGAGCCGCTTTGACTTCATACCTTTTGGGCCACCTCGTGGCTTGCGCCTCGAGGCCATGGTGACAGCTCTGCTGATCAAGTGCCCGGATGATCCGTGTGAATTCATGATGAAGGCCGTCTCTGCAACCCGCATCTTTTGCCTCACTTCCTAGTAGCACGTGGACCATTCTGCCAGTGGCTGCTGGAGCAAGACCGCTACGACCGTGGAGAGTTTGGACGGCCAGTGGACGAAGCTGAACTGGCTAAACTCAGGACCCTCGATGAGTCTTCCAAGTGTTTGCCCAAGTCAATGCAGTGCGTTCGTCCTGGACCGAGGACAGAAGTGGAAAAGCTGAAAGCTGACAAGGCATGACACGACGCAAGACGGGCGAGCAGCACCAAGCTCAGAAGTCGCATAACCTTGAACAGGCGAAGCTTGAGGAAGCGACGAAGGCCTAGATGCTGAGTTGCATGACTGCTTCAGGGAGAACATGGCAGGTAGGGATCTTGGCCCTTCTTGAGGCCAGGCATTCGTATGATCCTAACGAAGAACACAAGGGTATTTCGAGTCAGGACGGGGAGGAAGTAACCAGCCATGGAATGTCCAGTAGCCGTTGAACAGAATTGCACAGCGTGCACTGTCTCACCGCCACGGTCTACGTGCGCCTGGCTTGCCCACCCTTTGATCTTCAGAAGCCGCTGGTGCTGTCAATCTCAGTTTTGCATTTGTGCAGTATCTCAGCTCGTCTGTCATCAGCACTTCTGTGAAAACTTTTGTGTGCCGGAGAGCTACATGGCGCACCACGGGAGCGCAGCTGAGCAGAATTCTACGAGCGACCAGTGACCACAGATTTTTCACCCGAGCCTTACGGCACACAGACTGCTTTCAAACTGCTCGGCTGCGAAGGGCGAACTCCAGCTGCTGCAATTGCAGTAGTGACTTTTCGTGTGGGAGTTGAGGACTATGTTTCACCTCAAATCTTCACTGCCGCACAAACTTGGAGATGCCTCAGTGTGTAACTGTTGCCTGAAGAATTCCTGAGTGGATGCTTGACTTGAACTCGCGAATCTCGTGAAAAAAAGAGGTGTTTTCAGACCAGTCCTGGATGGAGGGTTCGCGGGAGGAGGCAGGGGTCCGCAGCTCCACAGCCTCATGTCGCTGTCTGTGACTTGATTCTGGTTCACGGCGCTGTTCTGTCCGTAGACTGGCCCGAAGCCCGAATGCTTGTCTTAATTAGAGGACACTAACAAGTGCAGCACCATTGTCAAGCGCGCATGGGCTCGGAAGCACGCGATGTTCCAGATGGCAGAGCATCAATGGAGGCACCTCACCTTCCCTGCCTGTGCCGGAACGAAGCAGACACATTGGCAGGTCCACTCAGCAGGTGCTGAGATGACTTAAGCAGCTTTTTGATAAGTAGGAGCATCAGCGGTGCAGCCAACATGCCCCGTACTTGGCCAGGTGCAGAGCCCGACCAGTGCCCTGCTGCAAAGGCACAGCAGCCAGGGCTAGTTCATTTTCTTGCATTTCTTTTGCTGTCTCCATGCAGCCCTGAGAAGTCTTGTTGAACTCTTTCGGCTCCAACACGCCATGATCAGACAGGTATCACATCGCATGTTTGCATGGGTCAGTGTAGAGACTTCTCACGTTACAACGTCGGTTTGCTTTTTGGTTCGCTAGTTGCAGCAGCATGGCTGGCATGGCTTGTTTGCGTCTCCTCTCGGCCTTTACCACACTCTGCCCAGTTCTGGCAAGCCCTAAACAGGGAGCTTGGCTGCAGAGCCTCAAGGATGTGAAACCGTTGGGTGAGGAAAGAGCCTCTTCCGGTTGCTCGGCTGGCAAAGGTCCGAAAGCTTGGGGAGGCACTGAGGAGGAGGGCTTCGAAGGCTGGGTCCCGCTAACGATCATGGACTTCACGCCGGTGAACCGTTCCTTCTATGTCCAGCTTCCCAAAAATGTCGGCACGTCCTGGCGACCGGCTCCGCTGCTCATCGCGCTGCACTCGCAAGGGGACCAAGCGGATTCGATGGCCTACAGCCACGACTACGGCACTTTTGGGAAGTCGCTGGGTTTCGTCACTGTGTTTCCGCAGGGTCTCGACGATGCGGTTCCAGGTGGTGGCGACTTGGGAACAGGCTGGAATGTGGGAACTGCTGGAGATGACCAGACATGTGTCACCGATGAGGTCACAGCAGACTGCTATGCATCGTGCTGGGAGCAAAGCAAGTGTGGAAGCTGCAACTGGTCTGGATGCTACGATGAGAGGCTTTTCATCTACTCCGTCATCCAGCTGATCAGCTCCGTCCTGTGCATTGATGAAAGCCGCGTCTATGTCACAGGTGAGAGCAACGGAGGTATGCTTGCTCACTACCTTGTGCAATCACTCCCCGGAACTTTTGCGGCCGTGGTCCCTTGGTATGGCCTTCCTCTTCTTGGATATGGCCTGGGGGCAGAGTTTGAGCTGGTCCGTGATCGGACGGATTGTCGGCAGACGGCCATGCTCCAGCTCCACGGACGCCAAGATGAGATCATGCCTGTGGCAGGAGGTGTGTCCGGCGGCTTCCAACCTGGTTGGATCTATGAACCCTTGAATAAAGTACAGCAGGGCTGGGCTGCAGTTCACAACTGCGATACCGTTGCCAGCCCGACCCACACCTATTGGGATGGTGGGGAAAAGAATTTCGCATGCTTCGACTACAAGGGTTGTACCAGCGGAAGGCGTATCATGCGCTGCTTCTACGACGGTGGCCATGGTGATCGCCCGGGCGAGGGTGCCGCAGACCAAATCACGGTGTGGTTTTTGTTGCAGTATCGCTTGGATGCGGGCCATGCAGCCTCAAGCAAGCCGAAGAATGCATCCATCTTTGTTTGATCAAGCTTGCTGCAGACTGCACCGAATTCAGTCAGAGGCAGGTGTGGCTTACACTCGGCACTTGGCCCTTGCCAACGACGATGAAGTCAGACAATCGACCGCGTTTCACACGTTCGTGTAGGGCTTTTCTAGTGTGAGGCGGTCGCAGCACAGTCTTGCCGTCCTCCTGAAGATGCATTTCGCTCGTCATTGCTTCATTGGAGATGGACGCGACCGCACTCAGCTACCGTGTTTTCGCTGGGTAGGGAGACCCAAGGAATCCGAGGCAAAAAGCCAAGGGCCAGGAGCTGTGGATTGTGCGAGCTTGGTTTCTCAATGGAGATGCAGCTGGCAGGCAGCGTGCTGAACGGCCCCCAGGCCGACCTGGCTGCCTAGATCTGTGCCGCTACAAGCTTTGCAAGCTCAGGCAGTACTCCCTCCACGGACAGCATTGTCTCCTATGTCTCTTTCAGGACTGAGACGGTGATGACGCTCCATATGTCCCATGTCTTCATGGTGTTTTGTAGTTTTCGTGTGCCTGCAGGATTTCATTCAGGACAGAGGCGATGTGCTGGGCCCGTACCTGAGACAGCTGCAAGAAGCCGCAGTAACGCCCGATTGCATCATTTCGCTCAACGTCCGGCAACAGGAGCCTGGACGGCTTTTCTACTCGACCATCCCCCGTGGGCTGGACGTGAGCATCAACGAGATGCTGCAGCCGATCTTTTCGGTGGGCCGGATCCAATGTTGAGAGTCTCTGCAGAGCGGATGCTGCCAGCACATCAACAGGGAGGACCACGCTGAGCGCACCGACCTAAAAAGCTCCGTGCAGCAATTCAAGTCTTGAAGAAAAACCGCCGCACGAAGGCACAGCACTGCTGCACTTGACACGCGCCTTCCTGAAACGTAGCGGCTGGGAGGCGGGCTGGCCTCTCTGCCTTGTTCGAACCTTGCTACAATGCCACAAGCTAATGTTTTAGTTCTCGACTGTCGCATGCCGAACGCCATGCTGAGCCATGTTGTCACTGCTCCACTGGCCCCGTGCACCCCCGCCTCAAAGGCCGTTCACCGGCTCCTCGCTTTTCGACAGGCAAGTGACGACTGTGCTGGATGGCTGCGCTTGTACATATCGCACTTTCTGCCAGGGGCTTAGAAGCTTATGCGCGAGATTTTGGCAAGCCAAAGCATTGCTGTGTAAGGTGCATTTCCTGTGTGGCGGTTATTTGCCAGGCAAGATGTTTCTGCAAAACCTTCACCACGTGCGAGCACGGCGGCTTGCGATTTGTCTGTAGTTGTGAGCTGCTAGCTCTGGCCGCGAGTCTGACGCTCTAGCATTAGCGAATCCTGCTCCCGCGCTGAAGTTCGTGCGCTTCTTCCCCGCCATCAGACTCGAGCTAGACTTCGACAACATGTGGAAGGCCCCGCCCTGGACTTTGGCATCCGGACATGTCTCAGCATTGAACACTTGTGGAGCCAGACACGCTTCGAGCCTGCTGACCAGCGGGGTGCCGAGCGCTTCCTGGCAGAGGCGAAGCCCGGGCAAAGCACGCGGAAGAGAGCTTGGAGCTTGCAGTGCTTGCACCTTCTCACGCCATTTCTCAGGGTGGTCTTCCAGGGCGCCGGCAGCGGATTGAGCAGGGCTTCTACGAGTGGTAGCTGGTAGCTCTACCTTGGAAGCAGTTTGCACGCTCGCGGAACACATTGGCCACACATTCACTCTGAGAGCACTTGCGAGACCCAGATGTTCATGACATGGCTTTGTTTTATCTGTCTCACCACTGCTGCTGCCAAGCATTTGACTGCAAATTACATGATCCCCTGTCTATGTCTGTGTCCACTTCGCGTAACAACGATGGAAATGTGATGCCTTTCTAAGAAGTCGCAACAGTACGGGACCTGCACCCCTTTTTTCAGCTTTATGGCAGTTGATCCCATGGGCATACTAGTCTCGGCTTTGCAAGGCATGTGGCACCTACAATCAGATGCGAGTCGCAGTGCGGTTACCCCCCGAGTAGCTTTGGCATGCAAGGTTTCACAGCCCCCGAGTCAAGTTGCTCTCACATTCCAGCACGCCAAGGGTTGGGCCTAGGGAACTGTCTGGCAATTCCGTGGCCTCACCATCACCGGCAGCACGCGACGCACGAGCTCTGCTTTTATGCTTGGGCGGACATGCACGCGTCGGGGGCTCGGAGGTGTTCTTCAACACGACAGCAAAAGAGTGCCCCGGCCACTCAGGCTCGCAGACTGTGCCCATCTTGCTGGCCTTCATCCCCGGCGTCGCTGGCGAGTCTCTCGATCAGCTGCCCGGTGGGGGATGGACATGACCTGTTTGATCGGAATGTCACCGCAGACGCGCAGAGTCATTGGGCCTGATGTTGCTGCACCATGCCACCGAGGATATTCTTACCAGCGCTAGCAGCAGTCGGAGGGTTGATTCTAGGAGTTCTCCTCGTTTTTGGCTCAGCCCCCTGGCGGCAGTCATTGGTTCGAAACAGGGGCAGTGACCAATCTCGTTCGATCGGTGCACGACTTGCGCACACCCTTTGGCAAAGGTTGCGTGCGCTCAACGGTGTTTTAGCCGTCACCGGCCTGACCACAACAAGGAGGTGCCCAATGTTGCTTTCCGTGCAAATGCACGCCTCGATGCCGTTGGTCTTCAGAAATGGAACATGGAACGTCTGCACGCAGACGTCGAGCTCGCTTTGAACATGTGCCAAGACGCACCGATTGCAGGAAGCTGCTGGATGTGTGGCTTGCGGCGGTGCCGGCTGCGGGCTGTGCACGGCTCCGTGTATGGCTTGCGACAACAGGGGATGTAGTTTGTGTACCAAACCAGAGGCAGGGTGGACTGTGCCTGCACGAAGGGGTCTCCACAACAGTGCCTGCACTTACAGGCAATGGAAGAAGCCGTGAAGAGCGGTGACGATCATGCCATCGATTCCCCCATACCAGTTGAAGAGTCCAAGGCGGTGCACCTCTGAATGCATGGAACGGGGCTCGGGGCCAAATGCGTGGAGCCAGGCATGGCAACTACCCTGCCTCGAGGGTGATGTAGAGCAGTCTAATGCGTTCGGGCGCTCAGCTCTGGGAGAGTTGCACATGCCCGTCGCCCCTGAAATGCCCTCGAAGTTCAGGTCGCCTCCGTGCACTTTCCTGGAGCCCAAAGTCTCTTCTGCAGCATGGGCCTTAGCTGCCTTAGCTGAGTCTTCTTAAATGGTGGCTAGCAGTTTCAGAAAACAGGGGACTCCTTTATTGAACTCTGAACGGCAGGCTCCGTACTGTAGGGACCTCCCCTGTGCTTGGGAAATGTTGAGGTGCCTACGAAGCTGGTCATCCAGGGCAGTCTCAATCTCAGCCGAGTTGCAGGGCAGTTCATACCCTTTAAGATCCTTCAGGCTAGCCGCTAAGGTTTAGGGTTCAGAGTTTAGGGAGCTTTCTGCTTTCTGCACAGCATCCACGCCTGAAGTCTGAAGTCTCGTGCTGCAAGGAAGCTGGCTGGAGCACATTTGAGTATTTGAGAACAACTTCAGAGTTTTAAATTCCCAGGGGTCAGGCAAATCCAAACCATTGTGTATATGGTGCAACGACAGCCGTGCGTCTTTTGCACTTGAATCGAGGAGGAACTCGCAGTAGTTGTTTGCGTGACCTTGCACATCATGAAACCGTCCACCATTGCCACAACTACTGCAAGATTTTCAAAGCAAGTCTTGCCAAGTTGCATGGTGGTATTTATGCCGAGCTTGATTTATCTGATTGCTGGGGCCGACACGTCCGCCTGTTGTACTCTGGGAAGCAGAATGTGCTGATCTTCCAGACATTGGCCTAGCAATCACTGCTTCCGAGATGTCGCAGTACTCTCTCGTATATAACTATATAACATACATCCTGTCCAGGTATATCAAAATTGCAATGAAGTAGTTCATACAGTACTAGGGTTGTGGTGACTGCATGTATGTATGTATGTATGTATGTATGTATGTATGTATGTATGTGTATATATATATACACACAATATGTATGCAAATAAACACAGGGCTCACTTTGATAGTTGCTGGGTGTGTTGGGTTTATCATCATGGGGAGACTGGCAATGCAAACCCGATGGTATATGTAGACATGAAGAAGTATATGAACAAATGAAATGAGTAGAGAATCAGATAAGCAGACACATGAACAAAAGAAGCAACCGCAGGAAAATCGTTCAATGAATATACAAAGAAGTATACACATATGTAGGTAGATGGAGCTACGCATGCGGACATTCATCCAAACGATGCACGTCAGAATACCCTCGTAGGCAATAATAATACCACTATACACGAATATGAACAACCATGACCAATACATTACATGCCGAGATTTAGACTAGAGCGGCAACTGAAGGATGTCAGTACTCTGCTTTACTGAGAGTGCTCGACGCAGTGTTAGACGTTGGAAGGTGTTCCTCAAAGGAAATTAGTCCGAGATATTTTTTTTGTATCCTCAGCCTGAAGCTGCACCGTGCGGAAGCATGTCAAGTTGATGGGCAGTGCGACACATGCACATGCAGAGAGATGTAGCAGCATTCTCGAACATACTTCATGATGAGCTCCGCAGTGTGCCCGGTGCGTCTCACCCGCCTGAGATGCGGAAGCGGTGCCAATTCCACGTGTGTATAAACACAGTTGTGCGGAAGCGTCGGGCAGCTGGTCATGTGTGGTGATGCTTTATGGGGACTCCACTCTATGCGGGCACTGTGCAGCCTTATCAGATCCAGAAGTCCTTCGCGACATCATGTCGGGGAAAGCCGAATAAGCCTGTCGCGCTGCCTGGCTGCATTACCTGAAAGGGGTTTGTCGAAGCTTTTGAATGCCCAAGAAGTGAGGTACCACAAAGATCAGAGCATGCCCCAGGACTGTGCCCGACTTTTGAGACCTGACCGTGCTTGTGCTTGTCGTCACGTGTCCAAGCAGCTTCGTCTTCTGACTTGCGCAATGCAGTTCGACCCGATGGTCATCGTCCAAGAGTTTTACTATCGTGCGTCTGTGAGCTGGCGAACATAGCATAAATTCTGCCAGGAGCTGTTGCAGGATCGCTTCAAGATTTCGAGAGACCACGTTCTCGGAGAAGGCATGCCCCTTTGTGCACCTGAAGCAACCGAGCGTCCCGATGCCTTGGTGCTGTTTCCGTTTGCTGCCCAGAGCGAGAATGTTTTGACTCTGTACTATCCGGTGGGCGAATACGATGGGAAGGTCAGTTCAGGGCATGCCATTCCCCAGTAGCTGGCCAGACTCTTCGTGCGAGGCAGCTACGCAGTGGTGTACAAAGGGCTGGATCGGAAGGCGGGTAAGTTGGACATGCCTTTTCCTCGCCTGCCCAGCATTCTTCGCAGGGTTTGAAGAACGTTGCCGTCAAACTCTACAAAGAGATCGAGCCGGACTTAGTCCAAGGTCCCTTTATATGTCTTCTTGCAGAGTGTTGCGGATGCACCAAGGACGAGGATGCGACTCGATCCTTTAAGAAAAGCTGCTTGACTGACAAATTGCATGTGAGGATGCGACATACCTCCGAGGGGGAGAGTCGAAACACCTCAACTGGTGTCTTCTTGTCTTTCGCCTTTCCTGTGCATGTGCTGCAAGCCTATGCAGGGACCGGCTTCGTCCCCACGTATGTGCAAGAGATGTCATTGTTCGTGGACAGGGGGGGCTAGCGGCAGGGGCGGCGAACTCGGGACCGGGATCAGACGCACAGATACATGTATGTATACATGTAAACCGTATGTGTGTGCACATCTACACATGTACACGCGTGTTTACATGCATGCCTGCGCAAATATGACTTTTTAGGTCTTCGTGCGGAGCGTGTCATGCAATGCCTCCTGCTTTCCACAAGCTGTCGCTCGCATGCTCTGTCTGTCACAATAACGTTTTTTGAGAGTGTGGAACCATCGTAGAGGTTCTCTTCTTCTTCTACTACTACTACTACAGCTACTACTACTACTACTGCTGCTGCTGCTGCTGCTGCTGCTACTATTACTACAACTAAAACTACAATACAACTTCTACTACTACTACTACTACTGCTACTGCTACTGCTACTGCCACTACCACTACTAGCACTAGCACTAGCACTAGCACTACCGCTACCACTACCACTAC